TTGCATCCTGTACGTTCCCATACAAACTTGCTTTTAACCTTCGTGCACGATACCATGGAAACAAACTGCTAAGGAGAACGTGCCGTCGCTGAATAGGCTGCATATGCGTATGCTGCTAATACACTTCACTCATTAGTAGCTTGATGCCTTTTCTGGTTCATATGAGGGTGATATTATTTTTGGGCTACGCACTCTATCAGTTCGAGCAGCCCACATTTTTTCGTAATCGTTTTCGTTCTACTAATGTCGTCCTAGGGGTTACGCGTCAAAGTGTTGCTTAACTTTGGCCAATGTTCTCACTTGATCGTCTGCCTGCAGTCCTTAACTACTCGTTGTAAGGCCTTCAGAATGTTGACAAACCTTAAACGTCATCATACAAATCGTTGTTCAAAACTGGTTTACTAATTCCTCCGTCAGCCGTCTATCGATTTCTGTTCATCCGGTTTGAACGGGTAAGATTGAATCGATTCGCACTGCACACACCCTGCGATCGCCGTTCAGACAAACGCCGCTAGTCTAATTCATCATTTCACCTGATCAGGTCGACCGTTGGGCTCGCACTAATGCAAATGATTTTCTATCACTCAACCAATGGGTTGTACTAGTCATGGATCAATATGATCGTCATTCGGTTACAAACACTGAGGGGTTCGTCGCGGTATCTTTAGGCCTTCCAGGTTGGCGAAGACAGATGATGAACTGTGCAATACGCTCGAGTTTTACTTGTCTCGTCGTTTTCTGCGTCAGTGCAAACATTATTGTCACATTAACCTTCGAAATCACTGGGTTCATTCCTAAACTGTTCATGTGCCGTTGATTCACAAAAATATGCTTTGATACTTTATTTAGGTTGATTCATCAACTGACCACTAAAAATATAATATCAAAATGTGACTTACATTTTGAACAACTGTCTGTAATCCCAGTCGAGATTGTTTTCTTCAAGTCTGTTGCTAGTCATTTTTTTCTACCCAAGTATGATCCTCACAGGCCCTGCTTGAGGTTCATTCGTCTGCACTCACCCACCAATTTGGGGGTAGCTCACCCATCCTAGGTCGCACAGTTGAATGAGATCGCTGTTAACACGTATTTTCTACCTATTGGCTTCCTGGGTTGTCTGTGTTTGGTTACCGATTTTCTGGCTGTTGAAAATTGTTGCGTTGACTCACTTATCTTAGGTCTTCTCCTCAACAGTGACTACAAAGAGTATCATACTGACACGACGGTGAGGTTTGTGGTGAAAATGACGCCAGAGAAGTTGCGCGAAGCAGAGGCCACTGGATTGCACAAATTTTTCAAGCTCACAGCTCAATTGTCAACCAACAATATGGTTGCATTTGATCATCTGGGGTGCTTGAAGCTCTATGAAAACGTGTCGGTGTTACTTCGGGACTTTTTTGATGTGCGACTGCAGTGGTAAGTCAGTTACTCATTTTTGCCTGTCTCCCAATTATGATTCTGTTGTGCTACATCGTTTTCGTTTTCCGTCCTGTTTACACTTATCTGTCACATTTCGATGTTTCCGAAACTGGTTGCATACCGATTACCTGTGCTCAACATTAATGGTTGATGAATCCACGACTTAATTTACTATTTTGAGTTCCCAGGTTGCGGGGACAGAAAAGTGAATTAAAAAAATTATTCATTCAACACACGAATGTAACTTTTTACATATCGTGTAAACGTATTGTCTGGCTGTTTTATAACTGTTGGCTCAATATAGAAGTTCCAGTGAGCTTAAAATAAAGTCCGCTGATTCAATAAACATGCGCTGTTGATTTCTCAAGTAGATTAAGTCAATCACACTGCTAGTATTTTATTTACTGCTTATGAGGTCTAACGTCCAACTTCATTATTTCCATACCCATTCAGGTATGAAAAACGTAAATCTTACCTAGAAGGAATGTTGGCTGCGGAAGCTCGTAAATTGGAGAATCAAGCGCGATTTGTATTGGAGAAAATTGAAGGCCTGATGAGCATTGAGAACAAGCCACGCAAAGAACTAATTCGCATGCTGCAAGCTGCGCGTTACGACTCTGATCCCGTGCGTGCCTGGAAAGAGTGTTTGGATAAACTAGCCAGTATCGAGGAAGAACTGGAAGAGGACGGTGAAGGAACCGGTGGATCTGATGAGGCTAGTGGAAGTGGCCCTGATTATAATTATATTTTGAACATGCCCCTGTGGAGTTTATCCAAGGAACGCAAAGATGACCTACTTGCCCAGCGCGATGCGAAACAGGCGGAGTTGCGTACTTTGCGTGCAAAAACTGCGTCAATGCTGTGGCGTGAGGATCTACACAACTTGGAGGAAGCATACAAGGTAGACCGCGAACCCTTTTGCTTCTGTCAGTTTCATTTATCTGGTGCCCTTTTGTTTATTCATACTGCTAAGATCCATGCGGATGTAATGTAATGTCGTTATACACACCGGGAGGCGAAAAATCGCTCACTAGCTATTGGTGTGATTGCGGCCTGGAACCTGTTTGATGTGATCATAAAGTCAACACAGATGAACTTTCTTGGGTACCAAAATAGACACTTGATTGTCATCGGGTTGGGCGATTTGTACGCAAACGGCACACATATCTCGGTTGAGTTCTGTTAGTCGGCTTGTGATAGCGAAAAGGCAAAGACGTTCAGTCCGTGACCCTGTGAAAAGACATGAGGATATTAACCAGCAATGTTCTTCAGCAAAGGCTCTTCCGGTTTCCAGTTTCAGTTTTTGCAACCAATAACCATGCACTTTCGTGCATCGGTTTTGGTTGCTGTTTTTCGACCGCCTATTTGGATAAAACAGTAGAATGAGCAAGTGGTCGACCTCCATAGAGTACGCTGGTTGCGGCATGTGTTACGCGTGTCTCCAAATAGGTTGCCACGGCGAGCGATGTTTGCCGAGGCAGGTAATGAATGGAAGAAAGCCAAGGGTGGTCAAGCTAAGACCTGGCATGAGGGTATGAAAACCCTTATCAGGAGTCTAGGTCACACGGGTCCCGTTTGGCTCCCTGGATGGGGACCCCGGGATGGTCGCACCCGATGTTTAGAGACACTAAGTGATATGACTGGGTGTCGTAAACAGTGGCGCTCATGCATTTTCTCAATTTCTCGATCATTCATCCACTGAACTGTTTAATTTTCTCTTCGATCCTACTTTCAACCTTTCCTGCCTTTCTCCTAATGTTCATCCAAATCGGTCGCCAAAAGATAGCAACCAAAACCGGTGCACGATAGTGCATGGTTGATGGTTGTGCAAATTGAAACTGTAGAATGGTGATTAGAATGTTGACAGCAGGTTCAAGCGGAAGATGGAGAGTTCAGATAGATTGTAGTTGCATGAATAATGAGTAGATGCATAAGCGTCACTGTTTTCGACACTCAGTGTCTCTAACCATCGGTGACTGTTATCTCGGGTTCTCCAGCCAGGGGGTCTAACGAGACCCAGCGTATTCTATGGAGGTCGACTACTTGCTCCAGTGAGGCGCTTCCTGATCCAGGCCTAGAGAGCTACCCAAGTTGGAAGTGTCATGCATTAATTTCTGCGCACACTAACCTTCGTGGATCCATTCATCCACGTAATTATTCCCCAGCACACAAGCGTTTTACTTCTTGAAGACTTATTTTAGTGGTTCGGTAGGTCAAAATTGGCTCGACAGAACTCCGCCTGTGTGTTTCGTTTCGCACTCACTACTGGTCAATGAAACTGCAAGCCTGTGACTTTTCTGGGTTCCAGAAATACGAATCGGATATGGCTGCGGAGGACCGTGCACTCACAGAGCGGATGGAACGTAAGACCAACAAGGCAGCTAGTTCAGGCTCTGGCCGTTCAGCTGCGATGAAACCATCAAAGCGTGGCCGTGAAACACTCCCTGATCCAATGGCCCGGCGTGTAGCACCAACTGCTGATCCGGAATTGCTAAAAAAACTGGAGGTCGATCGTAGAAGACGTCAAAAACGAATGGAGACAGCAGCTGACGGTAAGTTTTGTGTCCACCATGTGCACTGTCCAACAGTTGAGACCGTATTCTCAACCGCCTCTTTATTTTTCATTTCATATAGGTGGTTTGGACGTCAGCTTTGACGGGGATTTGGATGAAGACACACAAGACCCTGAATTTGGTGGACAGCCTAAGCCTTTGCTTCAACGGTTGGCCTCTGGGGGAACTAATGCCCAAGCATTGGCGTCAGGGGGTTCCACAATTGTCGTGGGTCGCGGTCGCGGTCGTGGTCGGGGCACGAGCCACACAATTATTCGGAAACCTGGCGAACCGGGTCAGATCGATCAATGAGCTATTATCGTTCAGTACATTTATATTACTTTGGTAAACGTATTCCAAATCCTGAATTGACCCAAAGCCTCAGTAAAACTTAAACCTAATCGTGGACGCCACTAACACCTTTTTGTACCTCTGCCTCTCTCTCTTTGTTCCAACCGTATGACAAGGCCCGAATGATCGCGCACCCGATTTCCAGATCCATGAAGAACCCATCAATTAACATAAACTGATTTCTGCGTCAGAATCCTCCTTAGCATTAGATGGAGTCCATCAGATGCTCACTAGAGCTAACAATCGTATACGAATTGCATCTCTCGTTGAATTGACGAATACTTTCTCACCGGTGATATGTATGAGAACCTCTGGGGGTGACGGGGTTTTTTATTAGGAGTTGTGATGTCCCGCTTGATTGTGCTGTAAGTAACTTTGAAATAGGTAATAGAGAACGAGATTAACCTGAAGCTTCCAGACGAGGGTCGGTGGTATGTGAAGAGAATTTACTTAAAAATCAGTTTGTTAGTTATGTTTTTGAAGAGAGCGAAATTGTTAACGGTTGTAAACAAAGAGGGATGAAAGGAGTTGCGCGGTTTTTCATTTGAGGAGACAGAACGGTGGAAGTTCGACATCTGGCGACCTAAACGTAACAAGATCGACTGACTAGCCACGGTCAAGATGTGCGAAAAAATGTACGAGGAAAGCAACCACTTGGGGTTTGGTTCTGAAAAGCGGAAACCAAAATATTGGTAGAAACAAGGCACTCGAACAGTTGCTAAACGATAAAAAAGCGGTCGCAGATTGAAATTCACATAGAAGTTATTGATCATTCGGATCCCTAAACCCGATCAGAACGAGGGGCAACAGCACATGAAGCTGCACGCTGCTCGGAACTGTGGTGTTCATGCTCCGAGTGGTTTAATGGATAAGTTAAACGAGTGTAGCCTAGTGCCCGACATGGGCCAGAAAACTGACTTCACACGCAATGAGAAAGGCGAATGTCAAGAAAACCAGTACAATGAAAAATATTTGGATGGATCCGGAAGGAACCTGTGAATGGAGGGGGGAAGGGAAAGGCAAATCAAACTTCATTGGAATGTAGGGCATTTTTGTGTGACTAAAATGAGAGATGTTTTGGGAGCATTTAAACGGGTTCATAGCACCCCATGTGGAAAATGAGTCCAGAATCCGAGGTAGGTGATTCATGATCAAGATTGATGTCAATGATAGTGTGGCGAGTCTTGGGCTAAGATAAGAAACAATGGGGACTGGCATCATTGACTAAACGGCGAATTCAGTGGAATAAGAGCAGACCTTTATGGGAGCGACAGTGGTTGTTCACAACCTTCTTTCAGTCATACTACATGTCAACTTCTCGAACCAGCTCCAATCCACTGACACATACTCTAGCATCTTAATCGTTTTACCGCATATATGAATCACCTAACATGCGATGATCTTATCGCAACACTTTATCTTTTCACAGGTTCAAGTCCGGCTAAGAAACGCCAGCCTAAAGTTGGTGGAAAGCGCAAAGCCGGTCGTGCTCGGGGCTCAGATAGTGATACGGACACCGTTTTATCGATGTCAGATGACAGTGACGCATTCGAAGCGCGTATCACATCAGGTTCGTAATGCATATATTCTTAATTTGTCATCTCGGTTTTTCATTCTGCTCAGTTGTTCTATTTCATTTCCATTGTTTTCTTTCTCTCTACACACGTAGACTCTCCAGTACGCGAGCGTGCCCACCGCGCAAAGAGCGCGAATGTGAAATACAACTTTGACGACAGTGATGATGACGAAGTTGGCTCTGCCCAGGATGATTCAGAGAGCAACTTCAAGATAATTGACCATGGTCAAGGTTCTAAAACGCTGGAGTTGCCAACTGCTCCCCCACCGCCATCAGCCGGAGCACCGACCGAGACACAGTAGGTTCATCTGATTTTTGTTGTCATCTCTTAATCTGGATGCCCACTTCACATACAGTGCGATTGCTCCATCGTTTTCCATCATCTCGTACCTCACCCGTGACCTTATTCAAGTGAATTCCCTCTGACCCTTTCTGTGATCTGATTGAATCATATTCCGCGATCTGCGGCGCTTAAAATCCCTCACCCCGATACGAGACTGTCCGATTACCGGCTTGTGCGTTTTGTAATGCTCTTGTTGTTACGTCCATCCGTGTGCCGATGGCACTCCTGCGGCACAGTCGAAGTCCACTGGGCCTGCCTGGGACTAACGGCTGTAAAAAAGAGGTGTGGTTTCTCGCTCGGGTTAGCTGGGAAAGCACCAGGTCCCTTGTTGCTGCTGAACCATTCGACCGATCGATAAATAAACCCCATCGGTTGTGATTTTCGGGCTGGCACACGGAGGAAGATAGGTTT